GTGCGTGCTGCCGAACGCGCACTTACTATTATATGCGTGCTGCTCGAATGCTTAATCGATAGAGTTCTATAATTTCGAATTAAAGCTCGCGGCGCCGGGCGCGCGCCACGCAGTACCATCCACACGCCGTGCCAATTCCCTACTGCTGAACGCCCCGCGCACCGCCAGCGCGCCGCGGCCGTCGAGCCGCCGAGCCCGGTCTCCCACTCTTCCCACGCGCATGCGCGCGCCACTCAGCCCGCAGCTCGCTGCTCGCAGCTCGCCTCGCCGCGGGAAATAACGCCGCAACGTTAATTCTCTTTTGGCGGAATAATCACACCGAGATTAAGCGCATCGTATACCTGTTGCATTGTGTACTCTCCGAGAGTAACGAGTAACAATGATATTGCTGTGTAGAAAGAGAGGCTCATACGACACATAATTATTTCGTGAATTTACGCGTCGCGAGTGTATCGTGTGTAATAAAGTGAGGTGCAATTGACGTGAGACGAGATGCACGACACGGAAGTGCTACTGGACCATTACGAGGGCTGTCGCAGATGGAATTGCAGAGATGGAAGATGCATCGATGGACAACGAGGAACGTCGCACAATGGTGAGTGCAAATTTCGGTACTTTGAATCTGTTCTTTTTGGTTATATATATACTTTCTCTCGCTCTCTTTGTACAACAAATTTTCTTATTTCACGTGTAAGGAAATATATTACTGATTGTGAGTATCATATAGAATTATATACCATGTAATATATATAATATATGTATGTATATGTAATTTTATGTATAAAATAAAATAGGACGCACATAATTTAACTAAGAAAGAACAGATAATTATATTGCATGCAGTAATTGAAATTCTAATCCTAACAATCGCATTGATTTCCAACGATAAAAATTGACATATATAATTTTATCAGCAGTTATCAACTGCGTAAAAGTATTGAGCGGCGTGTGTCAAAATCGTTTCCTGGTTTATCAATTGTTATCAATGATTAGCATTTATCCTATTTAACTAGTTTCTAAAAAAGTGTGATAGATGATTTAGAAAAAAAAATATTTTTTTAAATATGCTGTAAGTATAATTTTTATATAAGTGCTTTTATATAATAATTTATATATAAATAATAATATTTCGCAATTTTTTGGAATAAAATTATAAGTTTTTGAATCAAAATAAATTTAGAAGAAAAATTAATAAAAATTATAAGCAAAATTATATTTTCTTATAATTTTTATTAATTTTTTTGGTTATAAAATTATGTTCTATTGAAGCGGAAAAGAAGGAAATTCTCATATTATAAGAAACAAAGATTGAAGTGTAACATACCTCATTAGCTTTTTATTACTGACATGTATAAATACGTGCTCTAGGCATACTGGCGTTTTTCGTTTAATAAAAATAATTATAGCGAAAAACGGCGTAGAAAGTGTAATATCAAATCGGTAATATAGTATACGACAACTACCAAGGCTGATACATGGTAAAACCGTCTTCGAAATTCACATAAGTCACATTTTTGGATATAAAGTACTATCGATATTTATCATTATAGGAAATACAGTTAATTAATTTTTAATTGACAGTCAGCGAATGTAGGGTTATAAAAGTTTACATTAGGGAAAGTTGGAGCTGCGCGAAATGGATATTTGGCCTATATGCTTATAAATTTATTGCATTAGGACTTATAAATTTATTGCATTAGGACTTATAATGGAATTGCATTATAAATCCATTATATGTAAAGGTACGAAAGAAAATGCAGAAATTTTGTGTATTATATAGGCTCTTTGGCACGACTATCGGATATGTTTTAACGTCCCCTGATTGAATTCCGAATCTATAGCTTCCGAGCTATGTTCGGCTGTAGGGCTATATCAAAAACTTATCTTTTTAACGTGCAAAAAGGATTTTTGTGACAATTTTTGTTCATACTGTATATTGACATACACGCATTTATCCTATCTTGCTATCTTATGTACTTGCGATGATATTCTCGTTATAACTTGTTGAGTCACCAATGTTTCTCAGAGATTTGCGTATCTCACCGTAAAAAAAAAAAGAAATGTTGGAACATTTGTCTATCCGTGTATAATCCACGGTTTCTATCCTACCGTTTCTATAAAATAGCAGTTCTAAAAAAGAATAACTTCCTAAAAAAAAAAAATAAGGAAAACACGAACTAATCCGAGATTACGCTATCGTAGTCGGTACTATTTCAATTTCTTGAGACGTGTCGCTTAGCATTAAAGTAGCTGTCGTTTGCTGCCGGGAATTCTGATCGATGCCTCTGGTGCTCGGCGGGACGTACGTCCACCACGCTAAGAAGAAGAAAAGAAGCGAAGCCGCTTTTCCGATGAATGCCAGCGCGAGCATGTATCTGTAAAAAAAAATATATGTAAAAAAATATATGCGTGTAACAGAGAATCGTGTCTGAAACTCGAGAGAACTAATCCGCGATTCGTGCTAAGGCCCGTCTACATAAGTCGTAACATGCAAAACGCAGTTCGCAAACGCGGACGCAAGATGATGTTTCTCTTTTTCTTTCTTTTTTTGACGTTTCTTTCTTTTTTTCCTCTGCATTTGCGAATTTTCGTTTTGCGTGTTACGACTTATGCAGACGCGCCTTTAAAAGCCGCCGCGTGATTCACGAACCTGCTCATGTAGTAATTGTCGTACACGAGGCACGCTCCTCTGCCGTCGCACGTTTCGTTCCACAAGATACAAGTGTCGTCTATAAGAGCGCCGAACACCATGGGCGCCGGTATCGTTCCCAAAATCCGCACCTTGATCCACTGTATGCCTAAGGCGAACGATCGCTGATCGTCGCGGACGACTCGCAGGGTGGACGAGAGCGCTGGCATTGTGCACAGGAAGGTCATGAACATGTTGCAAAATGCCAGAACGATGAACAGCCACAGGTACGAGCATGAGCTTGTGCAGGTGGTATTGATAGCTTCGTACTGGACGACGTCGCCGGTACCTTCGCTCGTCAAATTCATCGCCGGTGCGTGTATGCAGCTGCAATCCGTGTATATCTGAATGAAAAAAAAAAGGAGAAACGACACGTTTATTTTCAGCGTAGAATCGAAACGCTATTTCAGAAAATCACCGGGGAGTAATAGTTATACTTTGACATTGTTCATCGGTGTTTCCCGATAGCATCCGGCATGACAGGGTGAATAGTAGGTAATCCCGTCCACGCCGCATATAGGGTCGAAATGCGATCGGGAGCATCCGCAGCCATTGTTGCAGGTGTTTTCAAGAGACAATGCGATCTTTCTGTTCTCAAAATATTTTCCGATAAAATAAATAAATTGAATGAGTTTTAACTGAACCACTATTGATTTACAATATTTTATTCTTATCATTATCATAAGTCTATTGTTGTACCTCGTGATGTTTTGGTAGGGCACAGTCAATCCAGCGAAATCTAAGTTCGGGCAATTTAGAGCGAAGCACAGCGTGAAAGCGATGCAGGCGGTTGTAGCCAGTAAACAAAATTTTAAAATGCCAGAGCAGGGCAGGTTGAAGCGTTTAATCAGGTAGCCACCGAGAAAAGTACCGCCGCCTCCCGCCGGTACAGTCACCAATCCTGTGAAAACGAGGGGGAGGGGAGAAATGTTATTTTGTAATGTAAACCGTAGCAGTAATTAATTAACATGTCATCAACTGATATTTGTTAAAAACTTCTTTACTGGTGATTTACATTATTTTCATATCAAATCATTTTCAGAGCTTTATGAAAATGATTTTACACAACGGTCCGCGCTTACACGAGACTCGTGCTACCTACGTTTTACGATAAATTAATTGAATTGTGACATTATTCACCCATCAGCAACGCGGCCGAACTGGCACTGACGCTGAATTGATTTTCAATCAGTTTCGGTAGGAAAGCGGCAAATCCGGCGATCAGCAACCCTTCACTGGCACCTGCCAAGTTCAGCATAAAAAATGCCGGGTTTCCAAGTAATTCGGTCAAAGCGCGCGGCAGCTCTCGTATCTTGGAAAACGCTTCCCCCGTCGCCGCGGTGGAAGATCGAGTCGATTTCTCGTGCGCTTCTGACACCCGATCCTTGGCTAATTCCTCCGATCCTATTCAAACCGTTCATCTTTTTACAGAGTTTGTAATTGTACATTTACTAAATATTTTGATATCTCCAAGTTTTTACTTATTGTTATTTTATTTTTATTCTATGTTATTTATTCTATTTTAAAAGTATTAAGGAGAGAATGATCGTACCGGGTAAAATTGCCGGAAACGCCAAAACCGGTATCGCGATGACGAAGCATATGACAGCCGCTGCCAAAAAACCGATCCACCATGCACCAATCCAGACATTACTATCAGAAGTTAACCCAATCCTAAAATTCAATGGTTTTAGGAGGCAATAGAGATTCGGTGAAACATATTGGCAAGTCTTGCCTTTGGAAATATATATTTAGAATTCCATTCTATATGGATCTCGGGGGATTTCGATACTCTATTTCGAGTTCCCTTCTAACGGATAATGGATGTAAGTACGCGAGAAAACGAAACTAGAACACCGATTAATTCCTTTCATTTTTATCTCGGCTGAGTGAATTGATGCGAAAAAAAATATCTGCCCGATTTTCCTCTTGCCAGAAAAAGATGTACAATACATCTAAAAGTTTATTTCGGGCACGTTTACGATCTGCGTATTCTCCTCGATATTTTCATCTAACTTCTTGACTCTGACAATAATTTGACAGTCGTAATTTCGCGCAATCAGAAATTCTCGACTGACAAAGCTTCACGTAAGTTCTTTGATTAATTGCCAGCACGAGATGCAGCGAACGTCCCCTTTGCGTGGCTTCGACATTCGTGACGCGATCATTTAACTGAATAAAAGTAATTTTGCCAAAGTTCGCTGTATGACAGACCCATAATGTATAATCGATTAATTAAAACGAACTTATAATGAAAGAAGAATGTCCTTTTTGTTGGATGGAAAAGAATTCCTTCATTGAATACAATCTGTTTAATACGTAGGATATATGTAGGAAATATTTTTCGTAAAATAGAGTCTATATTCGTAAAATTGAAGCTTACGCGAATCACGTTATCCACATAAATATTTATATTATTATTAACGTAAAAGATTGCTGTTGAATGTTTTGACAAATATTAATTACGAATGTTTAATAAGTATTTCACTCCAGCGAAATTATGGAAACACATTGACAACAATGCTAATTTTCTAAAAGGTAATAAATAAATACGATAAATACGTTAAAGGATATGGGGTATACTTGATGCGGCAGAATCGATATTTGATCCGAGAGAGTAGAAATAATTTGTGTAACGCTCGAAACCCATTATCTGAGAAGCGGCACGTGAGCGAAGCTATAACGCAACTTATCGTAGGAAGGAACTTGAAAGTGAGAAAACGGAAAGGTGCACGTAGAGAAGTCATTCATTTCAACCGGCTTGAGGCCAGCTGCATCTGCTGCTGCTGCTGCCGTTACCGTTCTGCCGCCGCGCTGCATCTCCGGCGAAACTTTTCATTTACCTGCGAAATTAAACGCGGCGCATGCACGAACGACTATCACGTGCAGAGCGATAGGGAGAGCCGTATACCTATTACGCGAATAATTTCGCCTTATTTTTGTGTTCTTTTTCTTGAGAATCTCGTTTCTCGTAAAAGAGAAAGGATGTAATTGCAACCGCGAGAGGTACGACTGTAGTAGAGACGTATCGCGATTTATTTTCATTTTACTCATTCCAATCTTACGTAAATAAGATTTTTCAAATAACGTGCGTGTGTGTGAAAATATGTGAAAAAAGAAATCGTCTCCTGGGCTAACGATTAATTTGATTCTCACGCGGTACAGAGAATGACTCAACGGTCGATGAAGGGGGAAGGGGGTGCGCGCGTGGGTTGGGGGAGAGTCCACGGGGAGACGCGTAGACAAATGGAACTTGATTGTGTCCTAAGTGCTGGGGGGATGAGCCAACAGTTTTGAAGGGTAATATCGGCGTCATCGTCAAACATTGGTTCGCCACTTGACATTTTCCCCATGGGGAAATACTGTATATCCGTGGAGAGTTACACGCACTATTAATCTCGGCCCATTATACGCTCTAATGATCCTACGGAATATTTTTAACGGCAACAGTTTATTAGAGGAACGTCTTTGCGTTTTCATGCCTCTTGAATAAATATACGTTTTTTTTCGAGCAAGTGAGAGAGGGGGGGAGGGGGGGGAGGGAGGGAGGGAGGGGGAGAGAGAGAGAGAGAGAGAGAGAGAGAGAAGAGAAGAGAATATCGAATATATGACAATGTACCAAATCGCTATCGTTTCGATAATAATTCTCGAAAATTAGCTAATCGGATCAGAGCGATCGGTTGTGCGCTCGCGCTATTTAATCGAACGCTTTATATATTAACCGAGAGATCATTTTGCTATCGAATTCCCCGCAAACGAGCAATACATGCACGTCATTCGAATACTAGTGGCGAAATGACGAATATGCGCATTTGCATACCATCAGATCAGATCGGCGGGTTATTCCGTTCGAAACCGCGCGTCGGCACGCGCGTTCTCGTGTCCGTATATAACACGGACACGATACGTGTGTCTGTGTGGATACGCGTGTATTCCGTCGGAGAGATAGACGCGAACGACCGATAAATCCTCGCGAGAATTTAATAAAGTTGCCGCTGACGCACGACTAAACGTTCCCGCGTGTTATCAGGACAAAAAAAAAGTGGAAAACACGTTTAGCCTGACAACGGGAAGAGACGAATTCCGATGCCACGACCACGGTTACACGTTTTTTTCCTGTCTTCGTTCGACGCGACTCTACCGCGCTTCATACTATACATCGCAAATAAAATATCCATCACTCGTGTTTCATTGTTGTCTCGCGAAAGTAAAGATGTCTGATACATTCTTTTTTTTAATGTAACAAGAGATAACGCGCGCGCGGGTATATCGATCTATATGTAAATAAAATATTTAAAACAAAATCTAAAATATTTAAATACTTACGTTGAGGAGTCCACCGTGAGAAAGTCGGTGTAAATTTTCAGCAACTCGCCACCGACGACGTAGCCCAGCGCGGGTCCTATTATGGCCATAGTATAGTAAATACCTGACACACACACACACAATACACATTTTGTTGTATTAAAATTCTTTGAGAGAAAAGAAAAATTGATATGTTTGCATCGCTTACACGCGTCCTACCTAGATACACCGAAGACATCTTCTTCGAAACATTTTCGTCGAGATACGTAACCCCGAGCGTATAAAAGGGCGCCGCACCGGCGCCGTGTAACAGCTGAGCTACCAGAAATATGGTTAAGTACACGCCACTGTAAGGCTCTAGCTCCGCTTGATCGGTAGATTGATCCGCGCAGGATATCTGAGTGGCCGAAATAATGATAAATCTGGCGTCGCCGGTTCACTAGGCAAATTACGTAAATAGAAGTGGGGAAAATCGAGAAAAGCACGGTATTACAAACAAGTTTCGATTAGTCACGCACGCATTTAATTACGCATCGTGTTTATTAGCGATTGTGATGTAAATTTCGTTTAGTCAGTCTAACGAGAGAATTTAGCGATGTGTTATACGATATGCAATATAACCGTGTTTATTATTAGAAGGTGTTAAACGGGACAAGCCACCGTCTCTCGATTAAACTCGTCACTCGTTGTGATAAAATAAACCGGATATGTAAATGAAGAAAATTTAAATTTAACGTTCTTGTAGTAATTTAATTTGCTCGCTTACCGAATGGCTCGATATATTGGCGACACTTTGGCATATGTTCTCTGTTTGCTGACCTCCTCTATACGGTCCGGCGAGATAATGCGGAGACGCAAACAGCAGGCTACCTATACCTAAGACTAGAATCCCTACGCCGATATACCTACGACATCCCAGAATATCCGGTTGAAACAGGGTAAATTTAAGGATTTTCGAAATTAATTCTAGATCGTACTTTCAATAATGAATCGAACAAAAATGAGAAGATTTATCGTTGAATGCGCGTTGTTTGACAAAGTTAGTTTATTATCTCTTTTTTTTTCAAATCAGGTAAAATAATTTTCGAGAAATGATCGTCAAATCGACTCGATATCTCTACTCGACGAGGTTCAAGATCACAGGAAGGGCTATCAATTGTCGATTACGCGGACGAGGGTTCCGAGGCGTTGCCGTAGCGCGTAGCAAAGAAACGCGATGGGGATTAACGTCGACGGTGTCGGACGGACTGACGTTAGGATTAATATTTATGAGAGTCGTATAGAAACGATATCGGTATTAATATTAATGCGTAAGATAATGGCGCGACAGCATACACGTGCGTACCTTGGTTTCGATGCTTTCGCGCGGCCGCCGAGATAGCTTACTGGTACGAGAAGAAGGAAGCTAGCTATATCGTATCCGCCCGCTATTAAGCCGGTCTCCGACGATTTCAGTCCGAATCTCCTCTCTATCGTTGTTATGACGACATTTATAAAACCATTTACGACCATTCCTGAAATAAAGAAAATACTTGTGACCGATGGCTCCGTTCGCTCCAATTCGAGTTAATTTTACGATATTTGCTATTCGAAATATTGGCAGTGTTGTTTTACAACTAAATTTTGCGAGCATTAAAAATATTTATTATAAATCATTACGAACGCCTTTTTAATAAATAATATTGTAATCCGTCGTTATACCGATGTATATTTGTGCACCATTGGGGATTTAATGATATTACAACGTGGATAAGCTTTTAAAGGAACACCGAGTAAATGGCTCCCTTAGGATGCATCTAATAGACATATTTTAATCCTAAAGAATCACCTGGCGAGAAAGAACACTTATTTCGTTAAAAATTTTATCAAAAACATAATTTCTTGTATTGGCAGATTTACATATTATTATTCAACAATTCATAGATTTTTTAAAGTTTTCTTTTTCCTTCATACAGAGATATTATTCCTTTTACGCTATTCTTGTAAACGCGAACTGTAGGCTCAATCGGACAATTTTCCCGTTATTGTCAATCATCACCCCTCCGCACTTATTTTCACGTGGAATCAAAATTACGAATTCAAACATACAGCTATTCGCGCTGTCCTTGCGATAACACCGTGTCGCAATCGTTATCAAGAAATTATGTCTACAAAGATACGGCTCGCTCGGTCTCTTTTTATAGTGCGCGAGGCGGTGAGAAAGTTGGCGTGAAAATACACGCGTCCCTGACATTCGCGTCTAATCTCGAATAATCGAAAGAAAGTTAACGCTTCACGCACTAACGCTAACTGACAAACCCGAAAGGAGGAAGTGAGGAATATCAGGTTGAGATGCAAAAGCTTTGTCTCTGTCGAATGAAGTTTAAAAACAGAATTGCACACGCAGCAGAATTAAAGCGAAAATTGCCACTGGCAGCACTGGTTTCAATACACTATTTTCCAATTAAAAATATTTTTATTTATTTAGAAACTCTTTAAACTATTTTTTAAACAACTCTGGATTACTTCCAATTAAAAATATTTTTATTTATTTAAAAACCTTTTCAATTATTTAAAAAAAAACTATGGATTTTTTTGTTTAATAAACTTAACGGAAAAATTACGAATTTTTTTGCATCGATTTAATATGTTAACTGATTTATCATAGCGTTGTTATTGAAAATTTTAGTTTAGTTTTTAGACGTTAATTGACGCGGCCCATGCTAGGACGAATCTCGATAGGAAAAGTCAAATCAAAAGTACGTACCTTGCATCGCCCCAGCCCAGCACAGCCAGAAAAGTGCCCATTTCGCAGTGCGAAATTTCTGCAAGTAAATTGGCCTGAACCAGAACCAACCGCATTTCAGATTGTCCGCGGTTCTATCCGTCTCCTTCGGAATTTCCGGCTTTATTTCCGGTTTTCTCGGGCCATCCCCAAACTGTTCCGGGAAGCTAGACAGGGTCTCGTGCATGTCCGGCACCCCCGACTGTAAATTACATCAGCGAGGATTTATCTCTATCATTTCGGATATAAATAACGTATATTGCATATTGCATTTCGTTTCCAATATACGCCGTACGTTCTTCTTGCCAGCCTTATTTTATACGATTTTATACGATATGCAAAATAAATGGCAAAGTGGTGGAACGGTAAATTCAGAGCGGACTCGCACGCGGCGTGCGCAAAACGACATGATTGGCTCTAACAATAAATAGAAGAGAGAATATGCTACAATCTCTGTGACCTACGGCTCTTGAGCGATAGTCGTCTACATGCGCGCGACTCGCTCCATATTGCTGACAGTTACAGATCAAATATTAGCCAGACGTTTGCGTTTTCTTTGCTTACTTTTTTTCGATTCTCCTAATAAATCGCGACAGACGGATTAAAAAACACGAGAATCGATCGCAACACACCACAAACGATACTCACGTTGAATGTGAACTTGTCCCTCATATTTATCGTTAATTCCCAAGGGTGACGAGAATCTATGTATTCCGCTTATCGTTAGCATCCACTAATCGCTCTTTTATCTTAAATCTTTCGGCGACAGTCGATCGTAAAAATTGTGTACAAACATTTAATATTTACCGAAATATTTCAACATCGACGGCTCTTATTATAGATATCATTTCCACTTAATCGGTCAGAAAGCACGACTTCCGTGAACCTTTTTGAAAAAAAAAACATCGGCGCGGATAAGAAATGCAAACTTTAGATTGACTACCTCCACTTCAACTGATAGAGATAGACAGTCAAACGCGATTGGATTATCGCGTTGTTAATTTTCAAAGCTAGAGAATTTGTTTGGCTCATTGACGAATATTATTGTTTATGAAACGCTGTTACTTCTACTTTCCGTCTTGCACCTCTTTTCTTCTCTTTCTTTCTCTTTTTCACCCTTCTTCCTCTCTCTCTCTCTCTCTCTCTCTCTCTCTCTTTTCAGCTTTCTTTCTCTCTTAGTAATTTCTGTCTGTGAGAAGTTTTAATTACAATTTTCTCAACCGGCATCATTCAAACTGCATTACGAAACTCGTATTCCATCTCATTAAACTCGTCAATTTCGATTCCACGTAATCGAAAGCCAATCGAAAATAGCATACCGTTCCCGATACGTGCCGCGACCGCGAGTCTTTATCGTTTACGCTGCATTTTTATCGCTATAATATCCACGATTCATTTCTCGATTTACTCGCCGGTCCCGATTAGTACTCCGAGTACACTTTGGTATCGCAAAAAATTTATTACAGTGAAAAAATTAATTCCGTCACACCCGTCATCATGAAAATTCTAATAAATCCGTAAATATATGTCCAATTTCACGCGCGCGTCCTTCGCATTCACGTTCATTCTCAGCGGCGTTAGAAATCAGAGGAACACGTAGCGGCTGAGAGCGCGCGTCGCACGCGACTGAAGTCCGCACCCACGCTTCAAGCTCGCGCTCGCGCTCCTGCTCTCACAGTTTTCCCCGTTGAGTTTAAACACGGTATAGACAACCCCCCCCCTCTCTCTCTCTCTCTCTCTCTATCTATCTATCTTCCCCCCTCTTTCTCTCGTCTCCCCTCTCTTTCTCTCTCTATCTACTATCAACCCACCACCCGTGCTTTTATCACAGACATACCTTTTCTCCTTCCCTCCTACCTCGTCTCTCTTTCTCCCTTTCCCTCTCGGTCTCCTTCTCTCTCTCTCTCTCTTTCCCTTTCCCGCCTATCGTTACCTCTCCGACTTACGCTGTACACTCTTCTTCTTACTCTTCTCCGATCCGCTATAAACCATCCTTAAGCTGTTGCTTCGCCATCAAGACGTACGAGCTACCCGATTCCATCCGTCATTTAAATGTGATCAAGTTTATTGGCTTTTGCAAGGAATTTATGCGCCTCGCGTAATAACGTAAAGTTCCTTACGCGAAGCTCGAGCCGACGAATAAGCGCTTGACGTGTGTATTCACGAGGACCGACATCGTTGCCCGCGCTTGCCGGCGATGGTTTTAATTGCTAATTAATGAACACTCGTTATCAACCTCGACCACTTTTTAAAGAGAGATAACACTTCTCTTGTAGCATAGTATTATTATTATCAATATTAATTGTCACATGAAATATTAGAAAAGGCATAAAGCTATAGTGTTTATTATCTACTCGATTTAATCTACCGTATCCGTGAATGTTACACCTTTGTTAAGTAGACAAGTATTTAAAATTGCTTGTCGAAAACGTAAGCAAGTCACTATAAAATTCAGAATGAATAATTCATAAAGTTTACAAAATCGATAACTATTGACTCGGCCGAAAGAATTTTGCATTCGAGATTTATTATTTCACATTTTTCAAAGACAAGGATCTTACGAAATATACTTTGGCTTTAAATTTGAATTTTTATTATTTGCCAATGATAGCTATCTTTATCATAAAACTCGGTGTACCACATCCGCCGGTACGCGATTATTAAAACATTGTAAGAACAATCGATGTAGAACAAGGGCAAAATGTCTCAGATCTGAGAGATAAGTCTGATATGTCACAGAGATAACACAATTAACAAAACGAGTATTACAAATTTATATGAATTATGTAGAACAATATAGATAATTCACAAATTCGCGAAAAAGGAATGGAAAGAAATAAACGAGATGATGATTAGGGAAGTTTTAATATTCTCACGGAAATGCCGAAATTTAGAGTGCGCGGGAGAATAGACAACTGAGAGACAGCCGTAGGTCAGGTCGGATATATCAAACATCGTGGACGCGGCTAAATTTATGGTAGCAATAACGCCGGCACGTAGAGAGGCGAGAAGATCGAAATAAATCACTATGATAATATCTCCTCTTAAAGAGGCTGGCGCAAAATACAGAGCTCGTCGCGAGCAAGGGGAGGGGGAATATCCTCGCGTATTCGTTATAAAAATTGAACTATTCCGCGAACGCGTGCCTGCAAAAGTTGTCGAAAAAAAGGAGATAACAGAGATGAAACAACAGCGGGACAACAGAGCGCCGAACGGAATCGTGTTGTTGTCGTTTTAAATCAGGAATTATGCGTGCGCAGGAATGGAAGGTATATTCGCCCTCGCGGTGGCAGCTATTTACCGTATCAAATTAAATATCACGTCCATCTGCCTCGCGGACAGTGATTATCCGCTCGGCGAAGGCGGACGCGCGTCACTGAAAATGAAAAAGGAAAAAAAACAGGAAAGAGCCACATTATGCGTAATACGTGTATACATGTGTGTATATACGTACGTGGAGTGGCATATTTTATTACACAATGTAAACGGGCCGAGCGGAGCAAATCGAGATTACGCGTGTTGCGCGCGCGAGGGGATGGCGGCGCGGGAGTGAGGGAGAAAATAAATACTCTTACGGGGACCATCGGCGCGGCGCACGTTTCACAATCCACGCGACCGCTTCGACATAAATTTCGTGGATTTAATAAAGATTCATGGCTTCCGCTCGCAGTGTGTACGGCTGCCGTGAGCATGGGTCCGCCGCTCGACGTCGGGAAGACATCGGAGGCGAGCGGACGTCGTCTCTCACGACGATCGTCTCGACCCCATAGGCGTCGAATTTTCTGACGAAATTTATGCCAAGCGCTCCAAATGGCATTTCTCGTGGCTCAGGTGTGTCGCAGGGAATCCCCGATCGAGGGAACTGATGTCTCTCAATTTAAATGAAAATTACTCGAGGACAAGCGCGCAATTTTGAGGAGAAGAGTAAGGAATGTATCTCGGAATAAATTTGCGACAACGCGGGATGCGTGCAATTTTCTATTTGGGCAGAACGCGTACACTGACGCCTATGACAATAGACAAACAACGGCTTGTGTCGATGTGCTCGAGGGCGTGGGCGGTCTCTCGGACGAGCAACGACGACGAGGATCGCGTGGGGGAGCTTTTATTAATTTTATAATTTGTCGCCTAAAAAGCGTTTGTTGCGTAGCAAAAGCATGGAGACAAATTGGAGGAGTATTAAGAGAAGATAGTTATACGACCAACTCTGAATTCCGATTTTCTACACACGAAATCGTATCGCGTGTCGTGAATGTCACGCGTCCTGTTTCTCCTCGTTGCTTTTGACCGCGCGGAAGTCGCTCGGTGTGTATGCGCCTCTTGATACGCGCATCTCGCTCATCTCTTTTAATTCTCTCATACGGATGCGAGTCACGGCGGCGTAAAACCTAGGCTGACTGGAAAATCCACGAATGATTTGGTACGTACATACGTGCATTCCGCGTATCGTTCGTGAGATGACTGACATCAGTCACGATTTGCAGTCGATTCCTGTATCGATCGGAGTCGAAGGTCCCTTATACACGCGCGGCGCAAAATATTTCCCGCTCGCGCGATGGTTATCCATCAACCCGGGCGGGGGAGGGGGGGAGGAGAGAGAGCAAACCAGGGTGATTTCTGTATAGTCGCGTATATAATGAAATATACTTTCGTGGCGTCCCCTTTTTCGCCGCCCAGTCCTTTCTCGGTTCGAAATGAAAATGAGTGTCTCCAAAGAGCTTTGCCTCGCGTCTACCGTCACGTTCGATATTCCGTACGTTCCTTTATGCCGACACACGTTTTCTTCCCCGCGAGGGTTTCCCAGCGCGGGCGAGAGAGCCGGTAGGCCGTTTCACGGCGCGCGACATAAAGCGCGCCGCTTGCCATTTAGATTTCCTCCTTTTTGGCTGGAAGCGTTACGTTTCGGCTGAAAGCGCGGATACGGCGCAGACAGCCTAGGCTACCGCGCGAAAAAATTTTAGGCATTTTTCCTGACTATTGACGTGACGTCTGAAAAATTTTTTTCGGAGAGATATATCTGTAATTGTATTGTATTTATATATGTATATATATATATATATATATATATATAATACAATCATATATGGTCTGCATAACGACGAGAAAGTTAGTAGAAAGTACACCCCTCTAATCAATGAACAACTTTCGCAACAGCGTTTATACAGCGTGCCCGTGACCGATGCATTTCTATAACAACTATATTCAGGAGTAACTCAATTTACGGTTCGTATGCAAAGCGAATATGCCAAACAGCTTGTTAATGCAAATTAAACGGCACTCAGCCGACAAACAGGCATTTTCGTGAAGCAGATGTCAATTATTTAGACGTTCTTGTTCCTCGCTCTCCCTCCGTTCTCTCATACACTTTCTCCGATATTGACGCGCGACAACAACAAACGCCGAAGCAAATATTTCTTTTTTCACGCGATTTTCGAACAATTAGGGAACAATGTGACACTGTAATTGTGCACTTGCTCTCTGTTGAAATTTCTCTCTTTCTGAAATTTTAACTTTAGATTATATACAGGATCTGACAGGTAAATTTTTTCGGGGAGTTATAAAAAAATGACATGGTCTGAAATTTTTCTTTTTAGCTGCGCGTAGTCTCGTTTATACTTAAATATATTTTCTACCAAAGAAATTGTACATATTTAAAACAAAGAGCTCGAGATATTCTAAACAATTAGAAACAAACATACTGCAGCAGATTCTTTCAAGAATTAAATTAAAATTTGTTCTGAATAAAAAATTCTTATACAGAAACTGCAAGGAATTGTTTAATGTTGAAGTACTCATTTACTATTTTACTTTTAGAACTTAACTCATTATAAATAAATGGCAATATGAAATTATTCCAGTGTTTTCATCAACTTTGTCATTTCTTTACAATCCCAAAAATATCATCAGATTCCGTTCTCAGATTTTGTACATATACTTATATTATATTGCCATAATGAATTTAATATAATAAATTTACATATAACTGCGTTTTTTAACATAATACTTTATTAAATATTCCATAATTATATCTTTTTACATGCTAACGTGCGTTTACAATTTTGATTGTAGTGGATAATATCCGCAATGCTCTATGGATACGTGTAAATTACGTGTACGGTTTTATTAAATAAACAGACTTTTATTAAATGTATTTTTACTATTCTATAGAAATTATCAAAAGGCTTACATAAAACAAGAACCATCATTTCAACTACTTATGTAAATCGACTGATTATTTAAAATTATAAATTACTAAAGCCATGCGTATATTCTCTTTTTCTATCTCCCTTCATTTTATACAATTTTTTGAGCTTTCATGCACGGTCCATTAATTGAGACAATGTCGAAGTACGCCGTAACTTCCGCGTTCTGCGACTCTCCTTTTTCTATCATTATTTTTTTCTTCGACATCTTCGTCGCGACGGGCGGCGCTACTTCGCATAATTGCAGTGCAATCGCGCTCGGTACGCTTTTCCGGGCTTTAAGTCCGCATAAAACCGTTTCGTTCGTACGAGCGATGTTACCGAAAATAAGGCACTACAATAGGAATGAAAAGCGAAACCGGGCGTTTCGCTACAGCCTATCCTATTCAAGAGCTTCGTCGGAACTTTCTAATGGGAAAAAAGCGACAGAAAATAGTATACCCTGCTA